GTCCAAAGTGGGGGCTCATCATCTATTCTTCCTCCCAATCTCATCCGGGTGCTTCCGTTCTTCTTGGCAGGCCCCTTCATGCCTTATCCTTCAGATGCCTCGGAATGGGAAGAACTTCAAAGCCTTTCGAACCATCCAACCCAGCCTGGAACTTGACCTCACAGATCTCCTGGAAGAAAGTAAGGGATGAGAGAGAAAAGCACATATCTCTGTCCTACGACTTCAATCCTATTGTGGCTATACATCATCTGAGAATCTAGAACAGTGGTGGCGAACCTATGGCACGGGTGCCAGAGACAGCACTCGGAGCCCTCTCTGTGGGCACATGTGCCGTTGCCCCAGCCTTGCCTCCCCCCCGCGACCCCCTCCTCTCCAGCAGCCCTCCTGAAGGAGACTCACTCTCGAGCATGGCCCACACGGAGCAGCGCAGCCAAGGACATGGCAGCCAGGCAGCGTAGACAAGACTCTGCCCTCACGCCCCATCATGCAGTGGATGCTGCAGGGCGCGGGCAGAGGGTGTGACCGCCATAGTGCTGCTGGGCTGCCTGGGCGATCTGTGGGCCCTGGAGGTGGTGAGTGGTCCTGTGGGCAGGGGATGGGGGGGCAGAGCGGGGGCGGGCAGAGGGGTGGAGCAGGGGCGGGGCCAGTTTTTGGGCACTCGGTCTGTAAAAGGTTCGCCATCACTGATCTAAAACAAGGTTAAGGGCAAAACCTGGTTCAGTTTAGCCTCCTATTTCTTTATGTCAGTCCAATGAGATAGACTAGACCAGGAAATCACAGGAAAGCTAAAGCTACTTTGTATTAAGATAGATGATGATGATGATGATGATGATGATGATGATAATAATAATAATGATTGTGCATTATCTTCCCTTGCTTGTGATAGTCCAGTGAAATAGGGAGGTGTTTGCCTGAGCCATTTCCATATCTTATCTCCTAGTTCTGGACTTCTGCCTCTTTGGCTTAGGTAAAGATTTCTGCATATCTCCATCAAGTTTTATCTTCCTTAATCTCTTTACCTATTATGCCAACTCAACATTTTGTGGAAGCTCCCAAACTGAAGTAACTACTTTCCTCTACTATTTACTCATAGCAGTTGGTTTGATGTAGTGGTGTAATAGTTAAAATGGTGGACAGGGGCCAGAAAGACCAAAGCTGATATGCCCTTCTTAACTATGGAAATTTTTTGGGTTACTTTGGATCAGCCATGCTCTGTTAGCTCAATCTATTGAGGTGGTTGTGAGAAAAGGAAGAAGGAATGCTGTGGATGCTGCCTTGAGATCCTAAAAAACGGTGGGTTGTAAACCTAATGACCAGTCAAGTAAGTAATCATGGGGAAGTTGGACATTCCCTTTGAAAACGCCATCTTCCTCTCCTTCGTTGAGCTTTTATCTTCCACAATTTCCTAGTTTGCTTTCTTTCTACCTAAACCTGTGGCCTTCACCACATCTTAGAACAATGGAGGACCATAAATTAATTCCATTCTTGCTGTAACCACCATTTCCTTTCGGCTGTTGGTGGCTTTCAAGTCACCAACTGATTTTTTTCCCCAATTTTCTAGACCTGGAGAAGGAAAGAAATGTTTGTGCCAAATGCCTTCCTCTTTGTGGGGCAAACAAAATTTGCTTTGCTCTCTTCTATTTCCCAACTTGGCAATCAATTACCGAGTATTGAATGTCATTTCCCATAATCCACAGCCAGCATGTCAGTTTTAAGATAAACTTTATTGTCATTTTTTTACTAGGGGCACACTAACACACATTAAAAATGAAATTCTGTTGCCTGCTCTCAAAAGTGTACACATAACACACATATAAACATGCTATATACAACATATGTATATACCTATGCTCTTACATATAAATACCTATAAATAATAATCACTGTCCATCTTGAATACATAAAAAAAGGTTCACAAGATTAATATCGTATGGAACAAAACTGTGACTGAATCTGGATGTTCTGCTTCGGATACCACTTCTAACTTGGACCAACATTTCTGATTTTGTCATTGCAGCTCCCCGTGAGTGTTCTGTATGCCAAGGACTGGCTGTGATGGAGTGTCCAGATTGCTACCAGGATCCTAGTTTTGGCATGAGACACATCAAGCAGTTCTGCAAGATTTGCAATCAGCAGGTATCTTTACACCAGCTTTCCATTCCACGATACTCCTTTTAGCTACGCTTGTCTGATAAAGAATATATAGCCAAAGTATGCTATATACTTTTCTAGTTAAGATCCTTGATGCAGAGTGGGGATGTGCACACACACGTTCGCTCACTCACTCGCCCGCCCACCCACCACTTCTGTGGCCCAGTAGTGGGCCACAGCCCGGGGTTGTGGACTCCTTGTCATCAGTCCAACTAGAAAACCCAACAAAGGGAACTCTGAAGGCAATTAAGTCCCAGCAAGCAAAAACTTTATTGGATACGGCATCTCAGAACTAAAGAAGTGAAGCCAGCTCTGAGTTTTCCCACATGAAAGCTTGCTTAGTTAAAAGATAGATCCCCATGCCCCCACCACTTGGGTGTTCACATTGTCCAAGAGTACTATTTCTTTTTGTTATGGGAACAGTTCACTTCTCTATCGAGCATCTGCGGCAATGACCTTGGCGTGGTGCAGGCTCTCAAGTCCATGAATGGCTTCTTGGCATTCCATTCCATTCCCTCCCTTTTCTTTGACAAGAGGATGAAGCTAGCAGGCATCGTAGCAATTCAATTTTGACACTTCTGCTTTAACAGATATAATTCTGCTAAAGCTCTGAAGAGGACAAAGCCATGAGTATCATTGTCAAACTTCTCTTGGCAAAATCCAGTGTCAGTTGTATCTACAGAATTAGGACTTCAAGATTTGAGCCTAAGACCCCAAAATCATGTTAAATAAGATTTCTCTGCTTGCCTTGCCTTATTTTTTTATTTATTACAATTTATTTGCTGCCTATCTCATCATGAGGCTACTCTAAGTCAGCGGTCCCCAACCTTTCCAGCTTGGTGGTCCAGTCCAGCGCCGGTGGCGGGCATGCTCATGCCCTCCATTCACGCAAACTCCATTTGCGCAAGTGGAGGGCACTCGTGTGCAAAGCTCCATTTGTGCAAATGTAGCTTCAGGCGCACGTGCCCTCCGCTCACGCGCAATCGTTCTCCGCTCAGACAAATGGAGCTATACGCATGAACGGAGGGTGTTTTGTGTTTGCGTACGAAGCTCCAAACTTGCAAGCAGCAGGCTCTTGCGCTCGCGCATGAAGCTCCACTCACACAAGCGGAGGATTTTTGCACACAAAACTCCACTTGCGCGAATGGAGCTTTGCACTCAAGCGCAAGCACTCTTTGCTTGCGAGTTTGGAGCTTCGTGCACATGCTTGCCATTTCTCCTGCGGCCCAGTTTCAAACATTCTGCGGCCTGCTAGTGGGCCCCGGCCTGGGGATTGGAGACCCCTCTTCTAAGTGATTTATCCAAATAGGTATGTATAGTCTTTAAAAAGATGAGTGAGGAGGGATATAATCCTCTTCTTCTAATATCTGAGAACTCGTTGAATAGAATACCTGCCCTCTCTTCTTCCAGAAAGAAGGATTTGGATTAAAGGAGAAAGCAGATAGTAGTTATAATAGTAAAGTTGGAAGGAACCTTGGAGGTCATCGAGTCCAACCCCCTGCTCAGGCAGGAAACCCTACACCATTTCGGACAGATGGCTGTCCAGTCTCTTCTTAAAGACTTCCAGTGTTGGAGCATTCACCGCTTCTGGAGGCAGGTTGTTCCACTGGTTAATTGTTCTAATTGTCAGGAAGTTTCTCCTTAGTTCTAGGTTGCTTCTCTCCTTGATTAGTTTCCATCCATTGCTTCTTGTCCTGCCTTCAGGCGCTTTGGAGAATAGCTTGACTCCCTCTTCTTTGTGGCTTATAGAAGACTCTTTAGAAGATGCTTATAGAAGACGCTTTAGAAGAGAAATTGGACAGTGGAAGCAATTACTCAGCGATATGGTTGCTCTCCTTCACTGGATGTGGTCAAATGGAGGTTAGACAACCATATGTCTAGTAAGGTTGGACTTTCCAGAATTTAGATTCCTACACTAAGCAAAGGATTAGGAATTGATGCCTAAAGGCTTCATGGATTCTGAGAAAGGAGATACAAGCTTCTAGTTTTGTTTATAGTGGACCTTTTTTTTAAAAAAAGAAATGATGTAATGGATGACTCAGTAATCAAGAAAGCCCTTTGCAAAAAGAGACATCTGAGTTTAGCTCTGGTTTTATTGTTGTTTGATGTTACTAAATATTACATCTATATGGTTGCCCAATTGGAAAGGCTCAAAGTAGCTTTGTTTAAAATCTTGTGATGTTCTTTGGCCGCTACTCTACAGGTTCACAAGCACCGGGCTCGACGGTACCACCAGCCCCGTCCACTGTATCTGCCTGAGGAGCTTTCCCACTTTGGCTCTTTTCCAGAGACCGTCCCCCGTCAGACAATGCAACTCTTTGCAGTTCTCTGCATTGAAACAAGTCATTATGTGGGTTTTACCCGCCACGGCCCAGATGCCCACCAGTGGCTCTTCTTTGATAGTATGGCTGACCGTGAGGGTGAGTTGTTTCAAAATATTTTTTCCCAAAGAAAGCCAAGGTTTGCTTTTATCAATGTTATGTTTAGCTTGTAAAACTGCAAACTGGAAGAGTTGATTGATTTGTGGAATTGGATATGATGAGAATCTTCCCTCTGATTTGTTGAATTCATTAGACTCAACTATTGAACTGACTTAAAGAAAAAATCTGTCTGAATGTCGAAACCGAATCCTCAGATTAGTTTGATTTGGAATTTTTTTGAAGGGATTCAGAAAAAATCTGCTCTGCACGTGGGTCAAAGTATTAAATATTTTTCAAATTGACTTGAAAAGTATCCAATTCCACAAATCAATCAACTCTTCCAGTTTGCAGTTTGGTTGAATCAATCTCACGCCTATACTGTGATTGCTTATAGCCAAGGTTATTTCTGCACACAAGTGAAATTTTAAAAAGTAAGAAATGGAAGCTCTATTAACCTGAGCTTAGTTAAAATATATATAAAATAAACTGAAGTGAGTCATAACAGCTGGCAGCCCTTAATTAACTTTGGCTCATCTGGAAAAGCTGAATCTGATCAGACTTGGTTTGTACTTGGATATGGACCTCTAGAAAATCAGCATGGCCTTTGGTTAGAGTCCAGTATTTTTCATTGTTGGCAATTTGAAAATTGCCAAGATTGAGAAATACTATGTTAGATTAAAAAATAATAAATTAATAATCAGTCAATCTATCAGAAGGTGGCAATAACAAGCTACTTCCATACTGGAACCAAGAAAATTTCTTGAATCCCTTCTTATAATCACCAGGCATTGAGTTTTGCTCAGTGGAATCTATACTTTTCTCTTACATTTGAGAACTTAAAACATTTGATTCAAGTATCCATTAGAACAGAAGCCATGTTATCAGCTGCCTGAAATCTAGACCAGATGCTTTATCGCTTGGATAAACATCTTACAATGGTCTTCCAGCAACACCAAACATGGGGACTGGATGGGAATTTTTGCTTGGTTTGGAAAAATGTCCGCTCCAAATGCCAGAAAAATTAGTACTGGGAGACATCTTTCAAGATGCTGCTGTTTATTGAAAGCATTTCCCAGTGCTAAAATCTCACTGGTCAAAGATTGGAATTCAAACATTAAGTTGATTTACTTTCCTGTTTCTTTCCATGCATACCCTCAGTCCTTATGCCTGTCTTTTCTTTTCCAAGGTGGATTGAATGGCTTTAACATCCCTCGTGTCACACCCTGTTCCGAGGTAGCGGATTACTTGGAAATGTCCCCTGAAGCTCTGCAGGGCTTGAATCCCAAATCTTTGCCCTCTTATGCCCGCCGCTTGCTCTGTGACGCTTACATGTGCTTCTACCACAGCCCTTCCCTCAGCCTCTACAAATAAATGTTTGAATGAGAGACAGGAGATTTTAGAAGAGAGAGAAGTTATGTGACTGCAGGGATCCCATGGCAGATGTGGCTGGGAAATCTGAGTGTTTAAACCAAAACCTTTGGAAGAAATAACCTGAGAGAGCACTGAGCAATTCAGAAACAAGGGCTATATATTGTTACCTAGAACTTTTCAGATAGACGCAATATTGGAATCGGCTCTTCCTTCAGGACTAATCTCAGTGAAATATTTAAAAACATTATATGTAACATCCCCTGACCACTCTTCACCATTCAAATTTAACGGCATCCACTTTGAGCAGCTTACCAAAGGATGTTTGGACGTTGTATGTGAATACAAAAAAAAAAAAAAAGACTGTCATGCCTCTAAACCCATCCTCTACTTGGGTATTTCTAAACCAATCCTGATGAGTCTGTTTCTACCGCATGAAACTTTTGGGCTCTTACAGTCTTTTCACCAAGTTGTCACACTCCCAGATTAAAGAAGTGGTGACAGAAAAACAGGATCTTCTCAGTGGTGATACCTTGTTTCCAGACACACAGACCTGATGCCAGTTCTGAGGTCCTTTCAAAATCGTGTGGAGATTAGAATTATGAATTGGAGATTTTTTTCCCAAGAGAGATTAAAAAGATGATGTAATATGGAAAAGCAATAGCACTTAAGACTTATATACTGCTTCATAGTGCTTTACAGCCCTCTCTAAGTGGTTTACAGGGTCAGCACAATGCCCCAAACAATCCGGGTCCTCATTTTACCGACCTCGGAAGGACGGAAGGCTGAATCAACCCCGAGCTGGTGAGAATCGAACTGCCAAACTGCTGGCAGCTGGCAGAAGTAGCCTGCAGTATTGCATTTGGACCAAGTGATAGATGATTAATTTTTAACATTGTGTTAAAGAGACAAAAATTATCTACCAGATGTAACCTAATGGTTATATTTATAGTTACATTATTTGTTAACAACATTGGACCAGCAGTATTTTTAGCTTTGAGACTCTTGAGATATTAGAACTTGTTAAATCCTTTACATCTTTTTTTTTTTTTAAAAAACCCCTACTATTTATTTTTATAGATATTTGTTATCAATGATTCAATATGATATGAAGATCTAAAACATTAGTGGAATAAATAATTTGAGATTATTATAATGCCCAGACAATGGGAGACTGAACTTCTCTAGCAAGAGTGTCACTGGATCTCAAATTATGACTTATAGAACAAAAACATTATTTAGAATTTATTGCACTCTGTTATATATGTAGAGAAAAGGATTTTCAAAAACAACATTTTGTTGGAGATAAAGAAGGAATTGGTTCTTTAAAACACACATTTTTACATTGTCTTGCATTTACCAAGTTTTGGGAGAAAGTACTAGATTATATAAATATAATTGCATGAGAAAAAGCTAAAATTTTCAGACAATAATATACCTTTGAACTACATATCTTGTATTTGCAATTTGACAACTGGGCAATGAAAATGGATTTCCTGTGTCCTTATTATGGCCAAATAACTGACATTATAGCATTGGTAAGATAAATGTATGCCTCTTCACTCAATGGATTGAGGGCCTGATTGCACTTCCCACCTATAAGTGGACCGCCTATAGATGTAGTATATGGACAAAAATAATGAAATACGGGGCTCATTTAAACAAAATACCAAAAGTTAAAATGATAATTATATATATGAATTATATATATATGAATTATATATACATATATGATATATGTAGGTCTTTGGTTATTCGGGTTTTCTCCTGCGTAAAATTGGTCGCCAAGACACTTCCAATTTTACACGGGAGAAAACCCGAATAACCAAAGACCTACATACAAACACCCGCGAAAACCTCAGAAAACATATATGATATATATTTTCGCAGGTGTTTGCCAAGACACTTCCAATTCTATGTGGGAGGAAACCCGAATAACCAAAGACCTACATATATATATATGTAGGTCTTTTAATTGTAAATAAACTTGTTATAGTTTTATCTCCTGGTGGTCTCACGGTTTGTGATTCTCCATATATATACTTGAATAATAATTGCATTAGATAACTATATTATCTAATAGAATTTTAACTATTTACTGCTAAAATGATAAACGTTTTTTCTTTTTCCTTTGTATTTTTTAAAAATTTGTGTATTTTTTCCTTTTGGCAAAGTATGTATTTTTATCGTTTCCAATGTTGTTTTGTTTTTCCAATATTTGCCATTATTTTTAAAAAAGCTATAAAAGAATTTTAAAAGATTTGATGATTTTTCTGTATTGGGAAAAGCAGGTGTTGCAATGGTGAAATTCTATTTTTTAAATAACTTATATTAAGGCTCTGTTTTACAGCATGATTAATCAGGTCAATGGAAGGGTAGAGTCTTGTGGGAACATCCAAAAGGTGATATTTAAACCAGTTAGTGAATTTAACTCAGAACAGTTAATCATGCATAGCATTAAAGTAGCTTTACCTAATCAATTCTGTTGTGAGAATCTATGAAAGCAGCCATGTGAATATTTTTTACTACCTAGCCTTCTAGAAAAGGGGTGTCAAACTGCCGGCCCGTGAGCTTGATGCATCACGCCGAAACCATGCCCACCGCATTGCCGGCAATGGGGAAAAAGTTGCAATACGTCACAACACGTCACAACACGTCATGTGACGTTGTGAGTTTGACACCCCTGTTGTAGAAGAAAAGGAGCACCTGGAAAAGCAACTCATTTGTTACAAAACCCACAGCTAAGACTTCACAGCACATGGCACACTTTCTAAAGCGTGGCTCACTCACACTTATTGCCTGCTCAGTAGAGAAGAGGCCATGAATTTCTGCTGAAACTAGGGCTAATGGGATACTAGCAATGATACGGCATCCAGTTTTGGTCACCACGAAGTAAAAAAGATGCTGAGACTCTAGAAAGAGTACAGAGAAGAGCAACAAAGATGATTAGGAGACTGGAGGCCAAAGCATATAAGGAAAGGCTGCTGGAATTGGGTATGTCTAGAAGAAGAGAAGGACAAGGGGGGACATGATAGCAGTGTTCCAATATCTCAGGGGCTGCCACAAAGAAGAGGGAGTCAAGCTATTCTCCAAAGCGCCTGAAGGCAGGACAAGAAGCAACGGATGGAAACTCGTCAAGGGGAGAAGCAACCTAGAACTAAGGAGAAACTTCCTGACAGTGAGAACAATTAACCAATGGAACAACCTGCCTCCAGAAGCGGGGAATGCTCCAACACTGGAAGTTTTTAAGAAGAGACTGGACAGCCATTTGTCCGAAATGGTGTAAGGTTCCTGCCCGAGTAGGGGGTTGGACTCAATGACCTCCAAGGTTCCTTCCAACTTTATTATATTATTATTATTATTATTATTATTATTATTATTATTATTATTATTATTATTATTATTATTATTATTATTATTATTATTATTATTATTATTATATATGTGAACAATCGGTTCTCTGTGTGGATGCCGCTTCTGGAAGTTCATTCTGAGCCTGTGCAACAAATAATTAGCTACCGGTTCTGCCGGAGTGGTGCAAACTGGCTGAATCCCACCATTGGATACTAGCTACCAGAAAGTAGTAGAAGATTCGGAATCCTTAATAACTATTGAACCAGTCCCTAGGTCTCTGCTTCCAGAAGCACAAGCCACCAGATTCAGCAGGATGAGAAACCTAATTAAGCCCGTTGTAGGAACAAGGACATTAAATATTATCATTACAAAATACTATACCTAGGTTCCCCAGTTATATGCAGGACTATGATGTATTAAGGTAGAAGCCAGTATAACCTTTGTTCAGAGTGATCCAGGTCAAGAAGGCCACAGGTGAGAAGATACTGGTATATCCTTTTGTGAAGGACATGGAGTTATGCCCAAATTGGAGAAATCTCACACTTTTTGGGGGGGAGTTTTGAGCAGTTTAAGCTTTGAGACATCTGAAGGACACCAGGTTAAAAGATGATTGAACTAGATCAATTAAAGCCGTTAGGGGTCTCTTTGTTCTTTTTTTGTTTTGCCTTTAAGGCCTCCTTTGTAGAATTTTGGTCACTGCCTTGTGGATATCCTTATTCCGCAGGGTATAAATGATAGGGTTGATTAAGGGAGTGACCACAGTATAAAAGACAGCAATTTGCTTGTTATGATTGGAAGCTGACTCAGACTTTTGTTTCAGATACATAGAGATGAGGGTGCCATAGAACAAGGTGACCACTGCCAAATGAGAGGCACACGTGGAGAAAGCCTTGTACCAATTAGCAGTTGACCTCATCTGGAACACCATGAGCAGGATAAGTGCATAGGAGGTCAAGACAACTATAAGGGGACCAAGGATAACCAGGACCGATGTCCAAAACAGAATGATTTCTGTTACATTGGTGTCACCACAGGCAAGTTTTACTACTAAGGGCAGCTCACAGAAAAAGTGGTTGATTTGGTTGGAGCTGCAGAAAGTGTGCTGAAAAGTCAAAGTTATATTAATAGCTGCAATTAGGAAACAAATTGCCCAGGAAACCGTAGTTAACATCCATTGATGCCTCTTGTCCATAGTTATAGCATAGGTCAAGGGATGACAGATGGCCAAGTAGCGGTCATAGGCCATGACAGCCAGCAGAAAGCATTCTGTGCCACCGAAGGTTGTGCTTATATACACCTGGATTGCACAACGGATAAAGGAGATGGTTCCACTACCTGACAGGAGATGAGCCAACATTTGGGGCACAGTGCTGGTGGTGTAACAGATCTCCAGGAAAGAGAAGTGACTCAGAAAGAAGTACATCGGAGTGTGGAGTTTGGAGTTGTACTGAACCAGCATGATGACTGCCAGATTCCCCAAAAGGGTAAGAGAATAAATGAGGAGGATTGTGGCAAAGAGTATCATCCGGGTTTTGTGGTGAGTAGAAAGACCCAACAAAAGGAACTCCCTAACAGAGGTGAGATTCTCAACTTCCATTCTGATTCCTACCTACACAAAAAATACAATAAGAAGAAACAGTGACTGTGAAACAGACCTAGCAAAAGATCAGTCTTAGGTACATGAAAAGCCATTTTGAGACCCCAAATGTACTCTCAATTCATGCAGAAGACAAAATTTCTTGAGTAACAAACATTCTGCTACTCCAAAGAATTTACCTGGGCACAAAAGCCAGAAAATTAATCTTAGTAAGAAATATATTGCCTAAATAACAAAGCTTATTTAATTGATTCACAAATGAATCAAACTTCCCCTTTATCACAATTAAATTTCCCTTATTAATTACAACGTAACTTTTTTTTTAGTTTAGTTTGCTTCTTAATATGATGGACTCTTATGGAAAATTA